CAACTCAGGGGCTCATATACCAGAAGCCCTGGACCAGGAGAAAGCTGGGAGGCAGCCAAGGAGAGTCCCTGGGTGTCATTTCAAGCCAGCTGTCTTGGGGAGGGCACCCTACCGTTAAGGCACTTCTTCCCCTGCGAGTACTATCTGCTTCTAGAGAAGGATGGGGAATGCACAGGCTCCAAGGCTGATGCAAGATCATCTCCACCTCTTCTCTTTTCCCTGCATGGGGGCTGACGTCTACCTGAGGTGTTTCGTGTTAGCCCCTACACACAATCAATCCTTGTGGGCCAGCCTCTGGGCTCTGGACTCCCATTGTTTCCTACAAGGGACACAGCCTGAGCAAAATCTTTCTGGAGTCCACCAGCATGGGGGTGCTTGTCAGAATGCACCACTGGTGGGTGCTGAGCAGGCAGACATCTCCACGCCCTTCCTGCACTGCTGGCAGAATTAGGGATGCTTCTGGATTTGGATGATCTGAATCCAGGACAGGATTGGAGAGATGGGTGAAGCTTTTCCAATACTCAGGGCACCCATGTAGTTTCTCCCTTGTGTAGATACACCAGTGTTTGGTACAACCTGCAGGAGTAGGTGAAGCTCTTCCTACACTAAGAGCAATGATGTGGCTTCTCTCCTTTGTGGATGCGCTGGTGCTGGGCCAGGCCAGAGGATCGAGCAAAGTTCTTCCCACACACAGAGCACTGATATGGCTTCTCCCCTGTGTGGCTGCGCTTGTGCTGGGCAAGGTGGGAGGAATAACTAAAGCTCTTCCCACACTCAGAGCACTGATACGGCTTCTCTCCTGTGTGGATGCGTTTGTGCTTGGCCAGGTCGGAGGAATAAATGAAGCTCTTCCCACACTCAGAGCAGCGATGTGGCTTCGTTTGGAGAACGATGGGGATGCCACAGGCTCCCAGGATGATCTTTTCCTTACAGGTTCCCCCAGCATCCGGCTAGCCTCTGCCTGACGTGTTTCCTTTTAAACCATCACCCGCATCAGACCTGGGAGGGCAGCCCCTGTGTCCTTTGGGATCTGCAGTGCCCTAGAAGGGCTGAACGAAGGGTGAACTGCTGCTGCATCACATGAGCACGAGACCACTTCCCTGAATGTGGACACGGGTGGGTGCTAAGCAGGTATAAATCCCCAAGCCCTTCCTGTATTGCTGGCACAATGATGGACACTCCTGACTATGGATGCACTGGTGCCGAGCCAGTCTGGTGGAGTGGAGGAAGCGCTTCCCACACTCTGAGCACTGCTGTGACTTCTACCTTGTGTGGATGAGCTGGTGCTGGGCCAGGATGGAGGACCGACTGAACTTCTTCCCACACACCAAGCACTGATGTGGTTTCTCCCTGGTGTGGATGAGTTGGTGCTGGGCGAGGTTGGAGGATCGGTTGAATCTCTTCCCACACACCAAGCATTGATATGGCTTCTCCCCGGTGTGGATGAGCTGGTGCCGGGTGAGGTGACAGGATCGGGTGAAGCACTTCCCGCACTCTGAGCACTGATGCGTCTTCTTCCCTGTGTGGATGAGCCGGTGTTGGGTCAGGCTGGAGGAGTGGGTGAAGCTCTTCCCACACACTGAGCACTGATGTGGTTTCTCCCCTGTGTGAATCAGCTCATGCCGGACCAGGCCAGAGAACCAGGTGAAACTCTTCGCACACACAGAGCAGCGATGTGGCTTTTCCCCTGTGCAGATGTCCTGGTGCTGGCCCAGTTTGGCATAATGGGTGAAGCTCTTCCCACACTCAGAGCAGTGATGTGGCTTCTCCCCTGTGTGGATGCGCTGGTGCCTGCTCAGGTTGCAAGATTGGGTGAAGCTCTTTCCACATACAGAGCACTGATGTGGCTTCTCCCCTGTGTGGATGAGCTGATGTTGAGACAGCTTGGACCAGGACATAAAGCTCTTCCCGCACACAGAGCAAGGATGACGCTTCTCCCTTGTGTGCACGCACCCGTGCCTGGCCAGGCTGGAGGGCTGCCTGAAGCTCTTCCCAAACCTTGTGCAGCAGTGTGGCTGCTGCCTCCTCCGCACAGAGAGACAGGTCAAGCTCTTCCCACACTTGGTGCTAACATGGGGCTTCTCCCCAGCATGCTTTATCTTGTGCAGAGCCAGGTGCGAGGGGCAGCTAAAACTTTTCCTGCACTGAGGGCAGGAGTGGGCTCTCCCCCTGCGCTTGGTGGTGGGCTCCTGCTTCCCTCTGAGGCCCCCCATGCTGCCTCGGTTTGCATGCAGTGTCTTTCTCCAGTAGGCCTTTCCTTTCGGCCTCTTCAGGTGTCTCAGCACCACAAATTCTTCCCTGCACCTTGGGCTGTTTCTGGCTTCTTTCCCTTCTTCACTCGAAGGCCCAACTAGAGATGGGACCTGCTTCACTGCTACATTATCCTGCTTTGGGGGCATCCCCTGACCCTCGTGCCATTGGTTGTTCTCTGGGCTCAGGGAATCCACCTCACCCATACTCCCCAGGGAAGCCCATGGTGGCTTCAGCTTTCCAGGCCCTTCCTCAGGACCCTGCTCCTCGGTTCTGCTCAGCAACCAGGCATGTCCTGCATGGGAGGAGGAAAGACCAGATTAGTCCCTGCCCTGCTGCCAAGGGGCAAGCACTGCTATTCCCTCTGCTGGGATGGGCCTCGGAGCAGGACTGGACCTTGGCACTTCTGTTTCCTGAAGAAAACTAGGTGTTTCTGCCAAAATCCCAAATGATTGGGGTGCAGCAGTGCCAGGTCCCTGTGCCAGTCTCATCTTCCCTACTGGGTAGAGTTAGGAGAAAGACTCTCAAGGTTTCTGGCGCAGCTCTCAGCCCCATCACCCTAGGCCCTCCTGCAAGAAACAC